AAGAAAAGAGGGTGGACTATCACCTCACCAATGTCCACCATCCTGGACGGGGAAAGCAGAGGGGCCCTCCTATCCCAGCAGACTTCAGGGAGGTGAGGATACCCCCGCCCACCCTGCCTTCCTTGGCACACAGCAGCAAATGTATCCAACTGGCTGGTAGAAATCCCATGACTTACTGCCAGCAAGAAGCTCCCCGACCGGGGGCACAGGGTGGTGGGTGGGAGAGAGGGCCCTCCCTCCCGACCTGGCCTAGGTACCTACAGGCTGGACAGCACCCCAGCACAGCCTCTGCATGCAGCCAGCCAGGCTTAGCAGCCTCAAGCGGTCACCTCAAGGCAGCTGAGCCACAGCAATGGACCCACGCTGTGGCCAGAGGAGGTGACCCTGAACCTCTAGGTCCCTACCTCCCCCCACACCAGAGTAAGGGTCCCGCCATGGGTGGCTGTCAGCCACAGTGTGATCACTGACTGAGATGATTACATGGGTGGCAAAGTGGACACCATTTTTGAGATCCCCCAAAAGTTTTCCTCTCTTCTGCCCAAGTGCCTTTTCTAGCATTGGCCCACTGGAGACAGATCAGGTCAGGTCTCTGCTGCACCTCCCAGCACCTGCAGCTCCCCCAGGCCCTCAGGGCCCTTTCAGGGAGTATCTCTTATCTCAATCCCACAACTGCCAACAGACCAATCCCCAGAAGAAAAGGGAGGGAAGAGATGGGAGGCGAGGGCACACTGACAGCAGAGGGGAAGATTCCAGGAGCCTCCTGCCCCACCCCTAGCCAAAGTCCGACTCCAGGCCCAACCACCTGCAGGCCCAGAGAACTCTGGGGAGGGCAGGGGCGGCAGGGAGGGGAGGGAGACACGAAGGAGTCAGGAGGGAACCTCTCTAACACTCTCAGTCCTCAGTGGCCACTAGCCTGCTGAACAATGCAGTTTTGAATTCAATTAAAGCAATTATCTGTTGTGCCAAATAAATTGTGTACAGCATATATCCTGCGGCACTTTACACCTCTGGGCTCATTATTCCCTAACTGTTTCCTCCTGTTTATGCGCTCTCAAATTAAATTGCTGATAATATGCGCCAAAATAAAAAATGAGCACACCTTGTCCCAAGAAAATTGATTCTCCCTTTTCCTGAACTGGCGATTGCTAGGTTTTATATACTCTGTTCCTGGTGATCATTAGTAATTCAATTTTCTTTTTATTAGCCCCCTTATCTGCTGAGCAATATAGTGGCAGGGCTGACCTCTTTCGCACGGGTAAATGTTTAAAATCTTTTCCCTGATTAATTTTGCCAGTTAAGAAAAAGAGGAGAAATGGCCCGGCTCTTAGCCATCACAATGAATAAGGCTTAATGTTGATTGTGATGGAATTTCTAATGCCAAGGAAATTGATTGAACGCAGCAATTACACTGCAATAGTAACTCAAGGGAGATGGGATCGCTTTCTCCTGGCCGTAGCCTTTTGGTTATTTAAAACAATCCAATTTGCAAGGATAATTATGTATTAGCGTTTTATCTGCCACTTGAAATGAACAGGGGAGTTTCGATACTGGCCCAGCATTAGCAGGTTATTGCTGCAAATTACTTGATATCTGCTTTCTTTCACATAAAGAGGAAATTAGGCGATCAATTACCAAAAAAAAGGCGCACTGAAGGGATAGGAGGTGCAGGCACGCCCTCTGCTGGCCATGGCCACAGGCATTTCCGGAAGCCTCTCCCCTCCTCCCTGGCACAGAAGCCCATAGGTGGTCAGGTCCCTCCCTGGACACTGGGGACACTGCAGCCTCCTCAAAGAGGAGAGCAGGAGCTGGGCTAAGCGTTTGCTGGGAGAGAAATGGGGAAAGAGAAGACTTTGCCCCAGATGAAGGGGCGGCCTCAGCCCTGGCCCAACCCATGGGAGACCCTGCTGTCCAGCAACCACACTTTCCTGGAGGCCAGAAAGCACCATCTTGACAAGATGGCAACACCAGCCACTGGAGCCCTTGGCGGCCCAGGAAGGGCCAAAGAAAGTGCCGGAATGGCTCATTCACTCACCAAAGCATCTATACCATTAAATGGAAGAAGGTATGTTGGAGGCCACCCAGAGAGGTCTTTCCTGCCCAGGGACCAAAGAAGCCCTGGAGGGGCTCAAGACAGGCAGGCCTCAGTTCTTGGGCAGGTAGGGAGGGAGATGGCAGGCCTTGCAGGAAGGAGCATGGGGAAGCCACATACTGACTTCCCGGGGCCAGCCAGGATCCATCGGGCCCAGCCCAGGATGCCTGTCCTCACCCCATCCCCACAGCACACGCCCTGGCCGGGCCCATCGCCTGCTGCAGCCTGCCCAGCACAGCCATCTCTGCCTGCCTGGGGTGTTGCTGTGGCTGTCTCTGGAGCTACCTGCCTGAGTGGCCATACGAGGACACAGGCTCAGCAGCTCACTGCTCAGCATATATCTTCCATGGGCTCCCTGACCCTCCTCCAATGAGAGGAGGAGGACCCCCTCCTTGGCTTGGCATCCACAGCCTCCCAACTCATTGCCTGCTCCAAGCCTGCTGGACATCCCTATGGCCCCTGACACTACCACTGCATGTCCCTGAGTACAGTGATGCAAATCCCAGGTCCCTCCTCTGGCCCTCCCTGGCTTCCAAATGTAACCAGAACCAAGCCCCTCTTCCTTACTGTGACCAAGACCCTTCCTCATGATCTGGTCCCCTTTCCACTGGCTTCCTCCCCTCAAGCCTGCACCCCTCAAGCCTACACCAGCCTCACGGGCTTCCTTCTGCTCCTGGAATACATTAAGCTCATTCCCACCTCCAACCTGAGCCTGAAGAGCTAAGCACTCTTTGCTTCTCTCCTGGCTTGGGTCACCTCCTCAGAGAAGCCCTCCCAACTGCCTGGCCAATGCCGAGCACCCTCCCTGCAGCTTGCCTGTGCTACCCTGCTTCCTATTCCTCAGAACGCTTACACCACTTGGAAGATCTTGCCACCTGTTTAGGAGTACTCAGGCGGCCCAGTGGACCTCCAGTTGGAGTCTCCAGCATCCTTATCCTCTCACTACTGTGTCCCTGGGGCTAGCACGCTGCCTGGCACAAAGGTGCTCAGCATGTTGAGGCAGCCCTTGTGCCACCCAATGCTCAGCAGATGGAGCTGGTGATCTCTGAATCCCACACAACTCTCTGCCTGGCTGCTCCCTGAGGGGGAGAGGGGGCAGTGTTGCAACTGCCCACATCAGCAGGAGGCAGCCTCTGCCATCCCAGCCTGTACACCCCCCCTCTGCTTGAGGTCTCAAGAAGGAATAGGCCAGTCACAGCACAAGCAGACAGGGCTGCCCCTGCAGACGGTAACTCCTGGCAAGGACTCCATGCAGTCCTTCTTCTCACCCAGCCTGGTTGTGAAATCTGCAGGCCCTCCACCTCCTGTAGGATCAAAGCTGGATGCCCCCTCAACCCCTCCTCCCCAACTAGACGCGGAGGACCTGCCCACTGCCCAACCCCCCCACCCCTTTCTCTCCATTCCCAGTCAGTCCTGCAGCCCAAACCCCACCCAGCTACCTCGCTGCAGCCACCAAGGACCACATCAGGCTCTGCTTGTACCCCATCACCCAGAATGAAGTCCACGCTTGCCCTGGCATGCAGCAAGTGCCAGCCAGCTCAGGACGGCCTGCCAGCCAGTGCCCGCAGCCGCACTTCCTCATGTCCCCCATGTCCCAACCCCCAGCTGCACGGCCCCCTTCAAGCTCCACCTGGGACCCCGAGCCCTGCCCTCCCATGGCAGCCCCCACACCAGCTCTCTGCTCTGCTCAGCACCACTCTTCCTGGAGCCTCCTCAAAGCCTTCCTAGACCAGCCAGGGACAGTGCCCTCTGCTGGGGACACCAAGTGCCACACAGCGCCGTGGTTAGCACCACTGCCCAGGGCCAAGCACTGGCCAATGCCGAGCATCCCCAAACACCCCATCTTCTCCAGCTGTCTCACACAAGCTGGAGAATCCACTCGCCCTCATATACCCCAAATGCTTAAAGGAGAGCCACAGAACCAGGTGCATCCAGACAAATCCCGGCTCCCCACGCTGACACTTGATGGTGTCTCAGGTGAGCACCATTCCCAAGGGCTCCAGACCCCTCACCAAAGATACCCAAGAACACTCCTGCCTGCAGGTAGCTCCCCCAGTGTGTCCTGGCGCCATGACCTCACAGCAGGGGCAGGGTGGTTCTTGAAGGGGCCACGCCCCACAGCCCGCAAGCTGGGACCCACCCAGGCCACCACGAGGGGCTCTCAGGGGCTCAGACCAGTTCTTTTTTTTTTTCTTTTTTTTTTTTGAGACAGAGTCTCTGTTGCCCGGGCTAGAGTGCTGTGGCATCGGCCTAGCTCACAGCAA